GTATAATATAAATATAAACTATATATATATATATATCTGTATATATATAAACGAATTATTAATATGATACATATATAATGGAAACATATATATAATATATATATATACCAAAAACAAATATAAGACTAGAATTGTTATAGATATAATATAATTATAACACATATATCATTAAATACAATGAAGTGGTGTGTTTTGGGTGGTTGGTTGTGTGTCGTGTGTGTGTGTGGTAGTTGTTGGTAGTGTGTGTGATTGTGTGTGTGTACGTGTTTGTGATTTGCTCTTTGTGTGTTCTGGTGTGTGTGTGTGTGTGTGCCTATGTGTGTGCCTAATAGTGTTGTGCATATGTGTGTGCCTATGTGTGTGTGTGTGTGTGTGTGTGTGTGTATATAATATATATATATATATATATATATATATATATATATATATATATATATATATATATATATATAATGAAGTATATATTAATGTCATTAAATTCCAGTATAAACTCAAAAAGTTATGAAACAGATTTGTTTGATTTTTACCAGAGTTTTTCAGAGGCCACTTAATGATTGGATTGGATTTTTTTTCCCGATCCAGGATTTTTTTTAATGATTTCATGTTATTCTTATTGCCTTGACAAGTGTTAATTATTATGATTATCATTATCATTACCTCCATGAAAATGGTTATGTTTCTGGTAGCGTTGGTTTGTCAGTTTATCAGGATATCAGTGGCCTTATTGCCTTGGAGGAGATATATATATATACCATTTGTTATTGTTGTTGTTGCTGGTCTTGTTGTTATCATCATAATTATCATTTTTACCATTATTATTATCGTAGTAAATTTCCCCTGGCTTCAGGCGGGTCATCCCGCAGGCTTTCGGGCTGCCTGTTCCTCTGACGTTACGTTAATGTATAGAACCTCCTCGGACTCCGCCGCATTTTTTCTGCCTGTGTATTTTTTAATAAAAATAAACCCATGCTTTTATATCATTTGACTTACCTTTCCCATTGGTCCGAATCTACACTACTCCTACTGTACGTAACTTACACACTACTTACATACTTACCATTTTCCTGCCTTTTCACCTTCGATTAATTCACCTTAACTTTATTTCTAACTCGTTTTGCACTTTTTCGTACTTTCCTGTCATATATATTTTTATGTGCCCATTTTGTATCATTATCATTTTCATTTTATGTATTTCTAATCACATTTCAAACTCACCATGCACAATTTGGTTAATGAAATGAGTTTCATTATGGGTAAAACGTCACCAAGCGCGGGAAGCCACCAGTCTATATAAGATCAAGCCAGTATATAAGACCACGCAGTCAAGCCAGGCCGGTCAGTCGAGAAAGGCTTATTGCCTTGTGTGGCGACAGACCCTTTGGATCATAGCTGGCTGACTGGTGCTTCTTGCGCTGTGGCGAGTTGCTTCTGTTTTACCAAATAAGTGTATGGGTTGTTGTCCTGTATGTTGCTTTTGTTCGAAAGATTTTTGCGTGACAAATTTATAATGCGGATGATTTTACGGTGCCTTAAATCACCTGAGAGTCATCACCAAATTCGACAAAACCACATGGATATTACCCGGTGTTTGGTAACATACGCTACCTAATCAACATCTACAACTACACTACAATTATTATCATTATTATTATTATTATTATCATCATCATTATCACTCTTTTCATTTTCATAATCATTACTTTCCCTAGTTTTATCGTTCTTATTGTCATTAACATCAATATTATCATTATTATTCGTATTGCTTTATCATCATTGTTACCATTATCATTATCATATTGTCATTATTATCATTATTTTTTATTATCATTATTACTATTATTATTATTATCATTAACATTATCATCTTTACCATATCATTATTATTTATTGTCATTATTATCATTACTGTTAGCATTATCATTATAAGTATTATCAACACTATTCGCAATACCATTATCACTATTATAACTTTTATTATTTCAACCATTATCATTATCATCAATCGTGTTGTCATACTGATTGTCGTCACCCTTATTTTTATCATTATTATTACTATTGTTGTTGTTGTTATTATCATTATCATTATCATTATCATTATTATTATTATTATTATTATTATTATTATTATTATTGTTGTTGTTGTTATTATTATTATTATTATCATCATAGGTATTATTATTATCACTATTATCATTACTATTATCATCATTATTATCATTACTCTCATTATCATCATTACTCTCATGTATATAATATAATAATAATAATAATAATAATAATAATAATAATAATAATAATAATAATAATAATAATAATAATAATAACAAAAGGCATATTGATATCCGACTGGTAGTGAAAAAAAAACTTTTCAAACATTTTTTTTACTGTGACGGTACAGGTTTCTAACCAATCTGAACGAACATTTAACTACAACATACTTATGCCAGTTAAATAGTCAAGCTTCTTCTTTGGTACATTACGAGGGTTACATTCTTCCTTC